ATATCCTTGTAACCATGGGATAACTAAGGGTTATGTACTGGGGGGTTTTGGATATGGGGTTTTTCCAGAGGGAGATATGCATATCTACCTGAGGGACCGTAGGGACAGAAAGTAGATGTGCATATCTCACGAGGGATGAACCCAATATCCAAACCGACCGTACATAACTGCTTTATCCTATACCAAGTAGAGTTTTCAGTAGTACAAGGTGTAAAAAATAAACAAATCATTCATATGCAAAGTCATTTTATTGCATTTCCACTTTTTTGGAAGCGGGAAGATACGCCCCGAAGCGGGAAGATATGCACCGAAGCGGGAGATATGACGGGAGATATGGAGGTTCTTGATATGGAAACCTCAAAATCAGGATATGGGATATATCTTACCAACTTATCTCCCTAAAACCCTACTTGGCATAGGATAAATCAAGATAATTTCTACTCGCATCTAGTCTATTCCACATATTTGGGAAAAGTGTACAGGAAAATCTCCATGTTCAATTGATGTATGATCAAAATATACGAATCGAATGTATTCTCGTGTGCATTACAATATCCACATTGAAACATTTTTGGCCTGCAATGGACGTATAATAAATTAGAATATGAGGCCGTGTTATCATTCTAATGTAAAGTCATGGTATTTACTGTGGTATTGGGTTGCAAGCTAATATCAGATTCAATGCAAATTAATCATCTAATATCAGATGCGCGATCAGTCCAATAATCTAATTTCAGGTCATCAGTTCGATATCTAGCACTTGTTCTAACGACACGGTATTACTAGGCTATCATATTATAAATACACACACATATAAAACAATCAAACTGGTACACGATATAAGCACGACTGCTCTTTCAATTGAGTATAAATGTTGATAAACTCACCCGGAAGCCAAGACATACACGTTTAGACGATGCTATTTTCAGTTCAGTGTAAGAGTAAATGCCCGGATATCGAGGCTTTTTCGTGTAAAGTTTTAACCAAGCATCTAAAATCGGGTTATATTGCGTGTAGAATTTATCGATATCAGGGCCGCTACATGCCAGTGACTATTATACCTGAAGATCACACATGTATGTCGTGTTAGTAAACCCATATTCTGTAAATCAGTTATGTGTAAGTCAGCCTGACTTGTACTCATATGTCCTCATTTGTCCTGGTAACACAATGACTTAATTAGGATTTACGTACAACGATCACTGGTCAATTCCAAAGTTTGAGGATTTGCTAAAGTTTGAGTGAGTACTTTTAATGCATATAGGTCAAAATCTGAGTCTGCTCTAGCTTAGCAAACATGACCTCCAATACATGTATATTATAAAATGATATAATTTGTCATTCATTTAAATTTTTTGTAGATTAGCAATGAGGCAAGATTTAAATCTTTATTTGAAGTTATTCTTGTATAATAATGAAGGACCCTTTGAATTAATGATTGTAATGATGTAGTAAAAATTTATGCATTTGAAGTACCTAAAGTATGATGCAAATATTGAATGATTTGGAGTTGGAAATCTATACATTTCTGAGGGTATTCAACATACATGTACATATACATGCACATACTTGTATGTCAGAGCATAATGGGTAAAAATTAGATTTGGATATTTCATGTAAAAGTCTGTAAATGTCTTCATGCTTCGAATTGACTTCTTGATGTGTGTGCAAAGTACAAAGATCATAATAGTATTTTTCCTAACTCTCCAGAGGTTTGTGTAATATTATTTATGTCCAGTAAAAACTCCAAGATTGGGACTAAATGAAAATAAATTGATGCAAACATTATTATTCTCCCGGGATTTTTGAGTTGTGATGTCATGATCATTGAATAAGGCCTGGTATTCAATGATGAAAACATCTTTTGAGCATATGGATGGAATACCGTTTTTTATTCTTTACTCACAATAGTACCAAAATTGACCAATGAGAGAATGATTATCACAGCACTGAAATAATAAATGAAAATATTTCGACTCATGTTTCTAATTTTCTATCCTTATTAATTTTATAAAAGAAGAAAAATGTACTTCAATAAAGTTCTCTAACCTCGTTACTGCTTTAAGTAATATTTTCATAAAGCACCCATACCCTATTAAAAATTAACCCATGTTCATGCAAGTACTAATTAATCAAGTTTGTACGTAGCAGTTTTTTTAATACAATTGTGTTTTTGAATTATATTCCTGCATTCTGATACGTTTTACATCTGTCTGTATCACTAGAAAATGCCCCATGATATAGCTGAGGTGAGAAGAAATGAGATGACACAGTTTGTCATGATCATTTGCATGCAATATAAGCATCAACTCGATCATGTTTTACAATAATATCTACATTATAAATTAATTTTGACTATATAGTGGATGGGGGGATAAAAGTCATCCATTTAAATATACATATACATGTATATCATTAATTAATGTTTCATCCATGATTTAGTGCAAGCTTCTATTGTAAATGAAGGTTGTTTTTCTCTATATGGTTCTATATCCCACTCATTATATGACAAGGAGAAAGGGTGGGTGGGGAGTGGAGAACTTCAAATAATAAGGCTGCATTTTTGAACTGTCACACGATTTCAGCAAAAACAGCTCATCCAACCGCACCTACATGTTTTTCGCTCCACAGGTCCAATTGATCTTTTTCGTGATACCTGGGGAGATAACTCCTATAAATATTACACAATTGACTTGCACTGAGTGCATTGAAAAACACAGCCTAGGATTCCTTGAATTATCAATGCCTTTTGGTACTCTCCTTGAAGTTGCGCAAACATAACTTACTGCTTTATAATATAATAGACAGATTGAGTTTATGTAAATTGGCTTTAAGGAAGTTAATAAGTTAAGTAGCTTTTAAAATAATAAGTCGGCCTAGTGGTTCACCTATTATACTTTGCACTGTCATGCTGCTTACAAGTGAAATATTGTATTGCAAATGTTATAAAATTGTATTTTATTTTAAGTTAAAAGTATCTAAACTGATGACGTCCCTGTGTGGTCAACCTAGTTTTCAATTATTGGTCCAATTATCAAACAAACTTCATGTAAACATGAATTGGAGTGATAATATAGGGGAATTGAAATAAGTGGGTGATTTGTAGAGGTGTCACGCTGACCAGAAGTCGGAAGGCTCTGGTCGGGTCACGAACAACTACTTACCAATTTCGGGTCAGGTCAGAATACTCGGGAATATCATAGGTTATTGTAGAATTCTTTATATTTCCGGCCAAATTTCAAACTTTTGGCTGGCCTATTTCTTGAATATGTATAAATTACGAATGGGGAATAGTTTACGGTTCTTCTCGAATGATTTATGCAATAATGCAGGCTTAAACAGCAAGTCAAATTCATTTTTCTCCTGACCCAACCCAAAATTACCCAACCCACACACTTTTTTCTGCCCTGACCTGACTCGAAAGATATCCGATCCGTGACACCCCTAGTGATTTGGTCAACTCATGAAAATTAAAAATGTGAAGATTTTGATGGTATTGAAAGATCAAGGTTCACAAGCAAGGATCATTCAGTCTAAAAATATACCGTATTCTCTCTAATGAGTGTGCATTATATGCAGAAATATTCCCTTTTTTTATTTGAGTTTTCAACATATAGCCGAGGTCTTATTTTCAACTTCAAGTTACGCACCATTTAAAGGTTTACATGAGGCCCCATAATTTGACAATAAGTAATTGTTCCAGGGGGTTGACTTTTTTTATAGGGCATAGCAGGGGCATGGAGTCACTTGGTTGACCCCAGGGTTGGAAATTTGACAGCCCAATTTTCTTTTGTCGAAATCCCCATCGGTTACTTTGTGGGGGGTCTCATTCAAACCTTACAACTTATTCATTTTGTAATAACCCTGAAAATCTAAATACAAAATTATTGATTTGTAGATTAGTCATGCCATTTTTTGGAGAAATTGATCCTTGGCTAGTTAATTAAAAAATTAGACAAATATTTTCATCCCCGCATATTGTATGTTAGCTACTTGGGAAGGAATAGGGTACGGGTAAATTTGGTTCATTCCCAACATTCTCATCTCAACATTAACACACTTACATATGGCATTGCATATCACGTTTTGCATAGTTCATCTTATCAAATAACATTTACATATAAATATATAGCTGCTACTGTAAATAAGATAGGGAGACGTGACATAGAATTGTTAAATTAATTATAATTTAACAGATTTTTTAATGTATTTAGTCTATTAATTTATCATAAAGTCCATCTTGAAGTGTTTATTTAGACTATTTGTCCTAGCTGAGGTAACAAATATTTGCCCTAAATCTATAGCTCCTTGAATTCAAGACACTAAGTTAATAATAAAGGTGCGCATGAAACAATGAAGAAAATTATTAAGTGAAATAATTAACCAAAGTGCTGTACCCCATGGCTGTACAGTGCAGATCATTGCTAGCATAACTTCCTCGCGCATACAGGGTGTCAAATAGATGTGTTTTTCCCCTATATTCAAAAGTATGAACTCTTGTGCATCTGTGTTTGAGATAGTCATCTGAAACTCCTTGTAGAGTTGCTCCATGAGGCCTACTTTTAATGCACTAAAGAGCAATTTCGATTTCATGCAGACAAAAAAGTTATGCAAGATTATGTGGATGTTAAAGCTAATTGGGGGAGAGCATATTTATTTGACACTCTGTAGATATGCGTACCAAATGTGTATTTTCCATAATTTAAACAAATCAAGCTCATACTGAAAGCTTTGTCCTGAGATATGTTACACTGAAATGTATAGTACCAAAATATATTGTCTGAAAGGTATTGTAGGTGCTGTACGAACTTGCGATTCATAAAATAGGCTTGCATATATCTAAAAATGTGTAGCTATTCGCTTGAAAATGAGAAAATCTACTTATTACATAGTATGATTTGCTTCAGTAAAATCCCCTCTCCCTACATCCCTTGCACTGTACACTCCTTATGAAGTATAATATAAGAGCTTGCTTTACTATAAATTAGAATATATTACAGGGCACATTGCAGTATGTACCATGGCTTGGGATATTCCACAATAATGTATCTACAAGCTGTCATGACATTTGACATGGTAAGTCAATACCTCCTGTGTACAGAGGAGGTACAGAGGTACCAGTCAAAGCTAGGTATTGTAGAAGTTGAATGCTGGAACCTCTTTTCTCATGCTTTGTTTTTAATAAATAAGATAAGGATGTGTGGGTTGAACTTTTGTACTGGATCAATATAAAGTGTTTTGGGCAATCCAGGTTCACTCTGTAAATATCAGAAAGTAATCATTTAAAAGATTTTAAATCAATAGTGACCTGAATTTAATGAATTTTGCACAAGAGCTTTATTTCATAGAAATATACCTTTAAGAGATTAAAAATGTATTAATGCCACTTTAAAACAGATAAATATAAAAAAACTGGAAAAGCCATCATTTGAAATGTTGCATTTCTAGACAGACATTGAGACTGCCATTGAAACAGTAAAGGCAGCAGTTAGCGTATGTAACAAGAAGCGGAAGAAAACATCAATGGCACAGTCATTCACCCGGGCCCTCTCAAAGACAAACTATGATGAATATACTGAAGGTGTGTACAGTATTATATTTATCATCCTCCAAATGCAATGGTCCAGACATCATCTACTCTGTTCCCTTCTCCCTTGATTGGATAATATCTGCACTCCTGTGATTGGAGGATGCGTATTTGCCTTGTGTTCACTATACCCAGGTTGATTTAATGGAAGAATTGATCATTGTTCTTACAATGCAATCTTGAACATTCATCAAGTTGTAGAATACAGGTTATGTTAGTGCCAGTTGTTTAATAAGTTATATTGAGACACATTTGTATACAAAACAACCAACAGGTTTAAAATAAAAACATTGAGGAGATTATCTTTCATTTACATAGTACTAGGCATGATTATCACATTCCAGTCAATCAAAACACAGTATTACCTGAGGTATTACCCATTTTATGTTTTACAAGTGATGGATGGTTATTTTGGCCTTGACCTGGATTCAGTGAAATTAGCCTCATCAATTTCATCTTTCAAATTGGCTATTCTGTTCCATTCCTTTCACCCCCCTTGCTATTACAATATTTATTGTTATAATGAACCATAAAGTCACATATCAAATCATACAAAGGATATTTCTCCATTTACAGTTGTTAATAATAATCTGGTGATTTTCTTATAGAGGAATGTCATGCTGAGCTGTGTTATGCTGAATGTCTCCTTGAGAGGGCGCTGTTAACATTTATTCAGGATGAAAATCTAATCAGCTTCGTGAAGGGTGGTCTCAAAATACGAGCATGTTATTTGTCATATAAGTGAGTGAAATTGTATTTATCATTCAAGTAAAGAAAATAGATGCCTGGTATATGAGCACTCAGAGATGATATAGAATATTAGTTTGACTATAGGATGATATCTATATTCATTTTGAAGGAAAACACAATTTAATGAATAAACTATTATTGATGTATGGTTTCTTAGGACACCTTGTGAAATAAAGACATTTAAGAGGGATGGTTTATTTTGTATTTGACTTTAATCATTGGTTAGGTTTGTTTCTTTATTTATTGCAACTTTTACTTCAGAGAATGTGCCAAAATGTTAAAATATAGAAATTGGAAAGACCAGAAAATGAAGATGCACTTTGAGAGTGGCGTACATATGGGTCTTGGAGCGTTTAACCTTGTAAGTATATTACAAACTAAGAATTGATGTCTTCGATGTGAATGTTAGCATTGATTGTAGCTTTAATTGCCCACTAAATATGTTAGTGGTATCATAGACTAAGATATTATCTGTATGAGGAAGTATCCTTGATTTTCGTAAATCCTGTCATTTCTTCATTCCAGATGATCTCACTGCTTCCCACAAAGGTACTAAAACTCCTGGAGTTTGTAGGCTTCTCAGGGAATAAGGTAAAGTTAGAATATCTGTGCTTTTTATCGCCTATTGAGAATCCCTGCCAATTTGGTCATGTGTAGGGTGCTGGGAAACAGGAATTCATTTAAACTTTTAGAGTAGATTATAATCATGGTACTGTTTTTCTGATTCATGCCTCAGAAAATTCAAAATGGCTGCCTAGAGCAGGGTTTCGCTATAACATAGAGATCTATTCAAAGTACATGTATGGCAACACTTTACTATAGTACTATCTCAAATATTGTCTTCCTGATTTGTTCCTTTGAAGCTCCTAAATTATCACCCAAATGCTTAAATTGGTATAAACTCTTCTAATAACTGCCAATTTAATTAAGGGTAGAGTAGATGGTAAATATTACATTGTGACATATACAGATTCTTGAATTCAGTGTTAGTTGGGATTTGCTTCTCCGTGGAGTTGCCGATTTTTAGTTATAATTATCTCAGAAGCATAAATATGTACCTTGCTTAGATTGATTGTAAGTGGTGTCATGCATCCGAATGGGCACATATGGGAAAACAAAATATCACTAAACAAACCTTTTGCAAAGGTTACATAATGCTTGCTGTAATATCTGCACATAGCTTCGACATACATGTAAATGATTGGAAGATTTATAATGCAGAAATATCAAAGTTCATTAGAATTGAAAAAAAGACTGTGACAAACACTTTTTCAAAATGAGACCTAGATAAGCTAGAAAATCAAAGCATTATCAGGAATGTGAGAAAAGAAAGGTATGACAAAAAACATAGTCTTACCCTTGTGACCAAACCCCCCCCCCTCCCCACACACCTCACCTGATAGATGTAAAGGTGAGTTTAAGCATACTATTTGGAAGGGCACATCTCTGAGAAAATCCATAAGAAGTTTGCTGAAATTATAAGTTTTTCTATATTTGAAGTCATAATAAAATCAATCTGACCCTGAAATAAGCAAAGGAGTGGTATCGATATGGAAAACTTTTTGAACACACGTTTCTCTTAAACCAGTCATAAAAAAATCTAAAAATTTAACACATCGTCAATTTAATGGTCATCTTTTGAATGGTAACAATATAATTTGAAAAAGATATATATATACTTTCATCTATATTGTTTTAGAAAACACATCAAACACTTGTTTTGTTCTTGGTATCATGTTTCCAGAGTGAAATGAAACATCTTTCCGAACCTCATTGGAACAAAACGACATAAACACAACATGTTTAGGTCTCTCAATATTGTAATTGTACAAAAGAAATTTTGGTTGATTTTAAAAAAGTATCTTGTTAATGAACTATATATAACTATAGTATTGAGAGGTCCAAAAACATGTTGTACATGCTATTTTTTTCCAACAAGGTTCGGAAAGACATTTTAATTTATTCTCAAGAATTGGTAGAAAGGAGCAAAAACAAATGCACTAAAAAAAATTAACAAAAACAGTTATATAAAATATTTCTAAATAATTTTTGCATTAAATTGTTGTCAATCAGTCAACATTACATAAAATACCGTGTTTTTTACAGAATGTTTTCAATGATTGGTTTAAGAGAAAAACATTGTTGAATTCAGTTCTCCATATCGATACCACTCCTTTGGGACCAACACAAAAGTTCAATTTCAATAGTTGTCTCTCAGATGTCCCACCAACATCAAGATTTTTGAGAGCAATCCTAACACAAAAGGTTTCCAAGTTTTACAACTTATGGCTATGCATTTCTCTTTTAGACTTTCCTTTTTACATTATAAGAGATAATTGAAACAACTTTTTACATTTTAGAAAGCATTTGGGAGGTTCAAACCTGCCCCTTGCATTCAAACCTGCCCCTTGCATTCAAACCTGCCCCTTGCATCAGATGCTAGATCGTCAATATGCATTTTTCTAAATTGCAAAATTCCAGTCAGTTTTTAGTTATCTTTCAATTTATAACCTTACTAAGTCTGATAGTTCCAATAACTATAAATCCCAAATGCTATCTGTCCAATCAGACAAGCATTTTGTAGAATGTAAGTACTAGATATTCTCGCAATGCTTGCTTTGCTGGTCTCAGCTATACGTGTTGTTGTTGTTGTTGTGTTTGCCATGCTGAGCTCAGTTGTTGTTTCATCCTCAAAGTCAGTTTCAGTCAAGACCTTCAGGAAAGTACAATGACTTCTGTTCACATCAAATCTTTGATTATGCAATCTGTTCATTAGTCTCACTTCATTTCTTTTTAAAATAGTGTTCCAGTCGACTGTATGGTTAACATAAGCAACATGGAAAACCATCTCACATGCCTTAAAACAATTCATATAGCATTTCTTTGTAACAATACCAAGGATATTGTCATATACCTCCCACGCCAGTTTGATGATATCATCTTTACAGGCACCACTAATGACATGGAAATAACATGTCGCTTTAATCACCATGATTTCTTCGAGTAAACACTTTCCATTGTGGTATGTATATGGTGGTGAACAGTTAGTGATACGTGTCTCTTTGTTCTGTATAACGAATCTTGTGCCGACTCCAGCCAACCTGGTAACAGGGACAATATCAACGTTCACACCCTCTCCAGGGTCTATATCTAACAGTACAGAATATGTGAAGAAAGATACTAAGTCTGGATTCCTTTTAGCCATGTAGGCACCACATTTTGTATTATTACGGGCTTTATAATTGCAATAATAACAGTATTTGTTTCTCATGATATATGGTACAACTTTTAACCTTTGGGGGTCATATGGTCCTTCTTTACACATTTGTTTCAAGATGTCATTCTTACACCTGGAACTGCAACTGTTAACAACATTGATACAAGGGCGTATATTGGTAGGCACAGCTGGCTGAAAAACGGTAGTGCATATTCCCCTATTAGTAGTACGGTGAATTTGCACCATTGAGATCATGAACTTTTCACTTGCTGGATTCTTAAAAACTACTCCAGAACAGTTTACAATGATCTTCCATGGTTGGATGTTTTGCACATCATTGCACAATGCACAGAAATAGTTAGCATAGGTGATTCCCATCTTGGGGTCTGTTGCAGGCACCATCCCATCCAGGCCTTCTGGTTCAAAGCACTTCTTTTTGACATCAATGTCTTTGTACCCTGGCTTGCATGATTGTGCCATATGGACGTGTCTTTCAGTATTGGAACCAGTTTTCTCACACTTGGTTGTAGGAGTTTCATTCGTCTGCTGGACTTCACTGAGTGAGACATTATTCCTGCATTCCGTTTCAAAATCTGGACAGCAACTCTTATAAACATGACATGCGCTATCACAGGAACACAACCACAGAGGGTCGGTTAATTGATTCACCTGTCCACATTTTCCACGGCAGCTATTTTTCATACAAGATGTATACTCGGATGACCCACATACCTGTAGTTCTGCGATTTCTGTTGTTAACTTATTTCTTACCATAGCAGTGGTGAGATGTGTTGAGTTCGGACCAACTGAAGATAGTTGTGTTGAGTTCGGACTAACTGAGGAGGATGGATGCGTTGGGTTCTGATAAATGTCCAGGTTGCTGGTAGCAGTCTCAGCCACTGCATCATCTTCATGCTTTCTTAGACTCTTTAACTTTGCTGTCTCCCCAATATCTATGAGAGCCTTTGAAGCCAACATTATCATCAATATTTCAGGAAGCATTATTTCAACCGTCACTTGCAGTACTCAGGCTGTTAAAATGGATTTTAAAATTTTGTAATATCCTATGTCTATATATACATATATGGGCGTGGTCTTCACTAGCCATTTTGTTATCAAATTTCTGCAAAGACAAAATTGTATAACTGTCTCGTGTGTCCACTTATTGTATCTCCTTTCTAATGGCTTATTAATGCATTCCATTAACATCTTACATAGCAAAGCATTTTATTACTTAGAAAGTCAAATTCCAGTAAAAGTTGTAAGAATCAAATTAAAAAGCATTTGAAGAAGATGAGAATAGTATTGACTTTCACATTGTGGTATCTACCATGTCTACAAGTAAAGCTCCTATGCTCCAAATGCTTCTAAAAAACAGGAGTCTCTATTTGTTATTTCAAATGTGTGAGTCTCTGCTTTGTTTTATTAAGATATCTAGAAATCTTATCTGTGATTGATCTGCTCTTGGCCATATTAGAGAAATCCATACAAGACTTGCATGATACTTCTAACACACATAGAAATGGATGGCAATTTTGGCAATATGAAAATTATGCTATCTCCTACCCTTGGAGCAACATACATGTATATTGAGTCAATTTCACACCCTCAAAGCAATAATAGCTGGTAAAATATTATATAGTCAAAGTTCTGATTTTTAGAAATATGCATTTCAAGACTGTACATCATGAATAAAATATGAGTAGTAAAAATACTTCTAGTCACCTTCCAGCTATACTTTCCCCATCTTCTTTGTAAAATCACTAACCTTTTTTATCTACACTTCTGATTCAAAATTCTTTGACAAAACTCTCTGATAAAACATTACAAAAACCTCTTTTTGATTAACACATTTTACATTTAAAAGTTCACAAATCAACTGATATCTGAAGATTAACAATGGTTTGAAAAGTCATTTTTGCCAGAAATGTGTTTTAGTTGAGAAATTAAAGCAACGATTTGATTGTTTTTAGCCATAAATCAGTTTTTAAATTGTCTTAGAGAGGGACTAGGTCAGCTTGACCTTGCAGTTTTAACACAGGACATCAATTTCACTTTCCAAATATGGTAACTGTCAATCAAATCAAGCAGTGGTTTTAGAAAATGTGAATTTTAGATTAATTTTAGATTGTTTCAGAAGATTGAAATAGTTAGGTTGTGGAAATAAAGAATTGTTTTAAGTAAATTCAAATTTAAATTGCACATTTGGCAATACAAACAATTTAATGTTTGCTTCAGTTCTATTCTGAATTCTTTTTTTTTTTTTCAAGATTTTTTTTATGTTTCTTGAATATTGATTTAAATGACTCTTATCACCACATGCTATATTTCACACCCGGTGATCGTGAAAATGGGACGGAGGGGGGGAGCAGGCAATTTCCGCTAGAAAATTCAACAAATCTGGTAAAATTATTTTTTCAAGACAGAGTTTACGATTGAATTGCAAATTGAATAAGCGCACGGTATAATAAAATATGTTAGGTATTCTAGGATTATTTTTCAACCGATACTCTTTTAAGATATAAGATCTATTAAAAAAGGCGCAACGCAACCAACGTGCAAAAGTCAAAGTTTTTGCTATAAATCAAGCAACAATGGACTACACGACCTGTAATAAATACTTGTAAGTGATGTTATCATAACTAAATTAATGTCATTGCTGAATTTATAAAATAAGTTTCCATACGTAAAATAAAAAATAATCGAAAATAATTAAAATGGGACGGAGGGGGGGAGGGGACGGAGGGGGGGAGTAATAATTCTATAAAGTGAAACAACTTCACACGATTTCTTGTATTTGAAAAATGAACTCATTAACTTAGTAAGAAACTGGATGATATACCCCTGGAGACTGAAAAATGGGGACATTTGGAGTAAAAGGACTTAAAGTCGCGAAACATCTCTAATCATGTCTTATATACATATTGCTCCCCCCCTCCGTCCCCTCCCCCCCTCCGTCCCAAATTCATTATTTTCGATTATTTTTTATTTCACATATGGAAACTTCTTTTATAAATTCAGCAATGACATTAATTTAATTATGATAACATCACTTACAAGTATTTATTACAGGTCGTCCAGACCATTGTTGCTTGATTTATAGCAAAAACGTTGATTTGTACCTGTTGATGGCCTTGCGCCTTTTTTAATAGATCTCATACCTTAGATGCGTATCGTTTCAGAAAAAATCCCAGAAAACCTAACATATTCTACCATACCGTGCACCTATCCATTTAGCAATTCAATGGTAAACTTTTTCTTGAAAAAATAAATCTTCCAGATTTGTTGAATTTCCTAGCAGAAATTGCCTGCTCCCCCCCTCCGTCCCATATTCACGATCACCGGGCGTGTATTTGAAACAAGAAGTAATTGTTGAGAATTATTCAAATAATGTTTCAGAAAGGACTTCTTATACCCTTTAGATAAATAAAATAAACAAATGGAACTCTTCTAATTGCAGTTACTTGGGCTTGAAGAACTAGAAGCGGGAGCAGCTCTTACAACTAGTCTAAGGGGTCCACTTTGCACCCTCATCCTATTAGGTTACCACACACTTATAACATACGTCTTAGGTAGGTTGAACCTTGAATCACAGAATTTTAATTTTCTGGTCCATCTTAATACTTGTTAAAAACGTTAGCGTAGCCTATGTAATGCTATAAAAGCGATTGGCAAGCCATTTAAATTGACAATGAATGAAAAAAGTAAAATGTTCAGCATTGAAAACCACCTACTTATATTATTCCATTTCAGCACATTATTTGTTTATCCTATGCCGCAGAGCATTTCAGTTAAAAAGATGACCTTATCCAATGGAAATGGTGATTGTGTTTCGTAGAAAGTTTCGAGGGCAATACTAAATAGTGCATACTCAAGGGAATTGATTGTACTTTTTATAATAATTCATAGAACATATGTCATAAAAGATAAACTGGATTACTAAATGCTACACAGTCTTTACTATAGCAGCGGCATCTTTTATACCTCTAAATGTGTTCCACTTAGGAGGTGTTCCACATACATTACCAGGTCATCAGACTCTGAAGTGTTCCGATAACAAATGTGTTCCACTTTACATGTTTAACTGTATTTTGTTGTATCTATATTCCAGGAACTGCAGATGGAGATATAGGTGTAAGTGAGAGAGTGCTGGCGCCATGTATAAAGGACTTTCCTAAGGTATGCCAGGGGTGGGGGAGGGGGGGGGTTCTGTGGTTTGAGTGAGCAAAAAGCTGGCTACAGACCCGTAGGAGCACTCAGAATTACCCTCTCCAAGAGGAACACTTTGCCTACTCTCTGTTAATTAGAGATAATCTAGCTTTAATCAAATCAGACTATATGCAGTAATACCTATATAATCTGAATGCCACTGGGATCAGCTAAAAGTGTTTCGATTGCCAGGTGTTCACTTTTAGGTTTTTTAACATTGAAGACTGTGGTAGATTAATTGGGAGAAATTGAGACCAAACATAAATCACTTTGAGTGGAATTCTTTTTTACTGTAGTCAGAAAAACACAAAACTTCTGTTCATAAATAACATCTATTCAAGGCAGTGAAATTTGCATTTGAGATTGTGAAGATCATATCAGTCCCAGAATTATTGTAAAATCTGGGACTGAAGTATTACATTTGTATATGAGCAGTAACAGTGCAAAGTTTTTAATAGATAAATTGAAACACTTATCATAACTTGTATAAGGCGATCTGTTTCAATCCCCAGTTTAGACAAGACTACTCCACTCGGGTATATGAAGGGATGACCAAGAACTCATAAAAGTATGTTGGGTACACTAGTATATCGTTCTGTCTATGAATGCACATAAAAAGAGATCCTTTAAGGAGGGGTTCTTGGGATAATATCCCGAATTAAATATGATATAGCCAAGGAATTATCAGGGTATTAGTTTCTAAAGAATCTAATGTATGAACCCTGTATATAATCTTAAATTCCAGAACTATGAGGCCCAAAATAAAGCATTTGACTTATGATAACTTATTTTGATTCCTTCCATATTGCTCAAATATCATATTTTCAGGTATAACTAAAGTTTGTTTGTATTTTCAGAGTGCTCTGTTCCTCTTTTTCAAAGGCAGGATTGAGGAGATAAAGGGAAATATAGATAGCGCTATAATCAAGCTCGATGAGTCCATAGAGTCGCAGACAGAATGGCGACAGTTTCACCATCTTTGTTACTGGGAGCTCATGTGGTGTTACTGGTCAGTCTTATAACACTTTATATATTTACACTATAAGATGACAGGCCCGTAGCCAGGATTTGCCTAGAGGGGGTTCATTTTTTGAAAAATTCCATGGGGGGTTCACTTGTGACAATTTTGATCCAAAAATGGCCAAAATCACTTAAAAAGTGCTCAGAATGGTGAAAAACTGCATGATTTTGAAAGATTTTTTGACCGGGGGGGGGGAACCCATTGAACCCCCCTGGCTACGGATGAAATCCTATTCTCAAATGGATTTTCAACCAATTTACAGTAAAACCTGTTAATTGGAACACCTCTGTAAGTAGAACACTTCAGAGTCCCATGACCAATTGACACTTTAAATGTTAAATGAACATTTGTAAGTGAAGCTCCTAATTGTAATCCTTTCAGAGGTCCCAAAGGTGTTCTATAACACAGGTTTTAATGTACAGTATTTTCGTACATCTTATTCAAAAGCGTACTTTAATAGCTTTTAAGATGCATTGTACATGTATACCACAAGACTAGGAGGTTATTTAACTTTCATAGTCAGTGTGCTGATTTATCTTATCAGGATGTCTCCACTTGAGAGATTGTCTTTCTTCAGGTGAGGGCGACATGTAACCTTGGTAGCACATTATTTCCTTGTCTTAATAGAGTCCAGAACTTGTGGTACCCCAAAGATTCCACAAGCTCATACAATGGTACCTGCTACACATCAGGTTAATGCTTAGTTACTAAGTGCTTTGACAAAAAAAGCTTTGTAAAGAAGGAATTCGTGCCTGTGTAACACCCAATAAAAGCTTCTTTTGTCAAAAAGCAATTAAACCTACCATGTTACTCCAACCAATGATGAGGTTTGAAAAAATTGATTGTTTTAGTTTCAAACGTGACTATTTGATGGCGATGAAGTACGCTGAGAGGTTGTGCAATGAGAATAGATGGAGTAGAGCTACATACATGTACCAAAAGGCAGCATTCCTACTCATGTGTCCAGACACAACCCCTGACACCAAAGACCATCTCAGATATCTCTTTACGTAAGTTACCATAATACTTGAGTTATGAGAGACATTAATAAGCTACATGTTTTAAGAGAAGTTATATGTGAACATGTAGAATAATGGCTCTCTAGAGATTAGTTCTCGCCTTCATGGTAAGTATTCACTTGCCTGATTGAGTATAAAATATTTGGAAAATAGCTGTAATTAGGTCCCTGTTATCATTGGTCATAATATAACAAGTTACCTTAAAAACATATATAACCATTTTTGGATACATTGTACACATTATAGAATAGATTTTAGTATGTTGATGTAAAATAATTAATGTAACAAGCAATATGCAAGATATTCATATCAAAGTTAAATGCAAACAATGAGATAGTTTATGAACAAAACATTTTATTTTCAGTGAAGTGCCAAACTTGAAGCAAAGGATTGCCGGTAAATCCATTCCAATTGAGAAGTTTGCAGTAAAGAAATCTGCCAGATACTTGGCCCAGAATGAACGACTTACACTCCCGGCTCTTGTAAGTCATTTGTCATTGCTATACACATATTAAACAAATACTGGATGACCATGAGGTGGATATGCCAGAATACCTATCCGAGGAAAAAATACTAGGCGAGGCGAAGCACATATGTGTATTTATTTGTGTTTTGCATGCACTTAACTTCTTGTTACTTATTAATTTCCAATATTAACTTGTAAATTGCATTGTTTTTGAATTGTTTTGTGTTATCTAATTTTGCCGTGTGTGCTATTTCTTGTAGGAGCTGATCTATGTGTGGCATGGGTTTGCTGTATTGGCCAAACATCCAGCTTTACTAGAGCCCTTCATGAACATTGTAGAGTCAGAGCTGAATATCATTGTAGAGAATAAAGGTAAATACAGTACAGTGGAACCTGTAAGAGGGGTGATCAATAAGTAATGGACTCTTTTTTACACATATGTTTTTTATAGACCAATCCCTTTGATTTTTTCATCAGTGATACATCATTCAATAGTCTATCAACTCCGAAGATTTGAAAGCAAAATATGTAATATATTTTGATAGATCTTTATTTCCGTGAAGGAGGTATAGGTACCCATAACATAATGTCATACATTCTGAAGCTATTTTAGCTTGTTTAACATGCAATGCAGTTGAATGCAGGCTGAACAAAACTAACCATGATGGTCATGAATTACACCATTTTGATATGCCATACTTGGTTTTGAATATTTTATCATCACTATATGGTATTCATGTCACATTCATTTAACTGGGCCCTCTGCAATGTTCCATCAAGTGCTACATGTACACACTTCCTCATCCTCTTAACCCAAGATTGTGAGACGAGGCCGAATCCATTCTCTGACGTGGAAGCAAGATGCAATGGTACAGCTTGTTTTGTTTCATCAATGTCATTAAACCTGCTTCCTTTCTATATAGAAATTAGTAATACTAGTATATAAATAAATAAGTCACATGTGGGCAGATCTTGAAAAATGGTGCATTTGCCAAGGGCTCAGTTGAGGTCCAGGGATATTGTATTCTGAACATTTTGAGATCTTTGGGCAGGTGCATTGTCCATATGGATTAGGGTGCTCCTTTCTCTCACCAACCCCTTCTTCCACAATGTTTTCTCATATTGACCTTCAAACCCCAACCATACAACACTTTGACATCACAATACTTACCGTTTAGCCTATGTGTTACCAGTCAGTAAAATATTTTCAAACAACACAACACTAATTGCATATCAAAAAAGTTCAAATCTAACTGAAATATGCCAGACTGGCTAAAAACTAAATATGTGATGTAAATGTCAGTACCTCCTTCAGAACCTCCTTCACGTAAATAAGGATATATCAACATTAATTACATATTTTGTCTTCACATCTTCAGAATTAATAGATAATTGAATGAACTATCACTGGTAAGAAAATCAAAGGGATTCGTCGATAAAAAGTATCTGTGTAAAAAAGCGTCCATTACTTATTGATCACCCCTCGTATATCCAAACACCTCTTAATCTGGGGCCCATTAACAGAACCTTCTTAGAGTTAAGATTTCGTAAAGTACATTGTTCTCCAACTGTGACGTCATAGATATATGCGATTCAGAGATGTACGTATAAGAGTAGCTAGATACTTATTCAGTAAAACCTGACTTAAATGGAACACCTTTTATACCTTAAAATAGTGTTCCACCTTGGAGGTGTTCTATTTTTAGAGTTCATTTTATATCATTTTGTATCAAGTTAATTTTTAAGAGGAATGGAACCTACTGAACACTTCCGAGCACTGCATGTCAAATATTTTTCTTTGTTCTTTGTAAACACAAGTTAACAGAATACTGCAGTTTTGCCCACTAGACTTGCTTCTACGCTGTATATAAACTTTGATGATTTTGAGTAAAAGTAGAAAAAAATTATGGTTCTTATCAAAAACATTAAAACACTTATGTGTCCAGGGCACCATTTTCCTGTAAGGTGTTTCTTTTATTCAATTACAGGTAGAGGTGTATGATATCTTGTCAGTAAGATTAACTCAATGCATACCTGCGTTATTGTATTTTACGGACATTATAGATAAAGATACCCCATTCGCTGCTCAAAGGCAGTCATATGAACTTTTTGTTCCTTAATATGTTATAGGAGAAATACATTTTTATAACCCTGAAAAAGGTTTCTAATGATTGTCAACTTCTGGGGCATCCTATATACCTGTTTCTGTTTTGCTGCAGATAAATACGAGAACTATGCTGATGACTACTGTCTGGCACTACTCCTGAAGGGGGTCATATTGAAACACATGGGCAAGCTGTTCCAAGCTGAGCAGTGCTTCAGAGAAATATGGCAGAAGTAAGAAATCAATTCATTTATTATTTTGTCACCAAATGGTTATAGTTAACTTTTTTATGAATGGCATCCAATGGTTGATGCTCGGAGTTTGGCATCTGTAGCAAATGTTGGCATCTGTGACAAATGGCAGGTGGTGATATTTTGCATGTTAATGCTTTGTTACCATTACCATGACAATATTATAATGTCATGTTACATTTCTACCAAATTATTAACCTCTATTAACCTCTGGTATATTTTGGCATACTTTATGTCATAGTTACATAGCCACTAAATATGTGTAATGTGCTCTATATATGTTCCAGTGAAAAACAATTGAAAGTCGACCAATATCTAGTCCCCTATTCCATCATGGAGCTGGCAATTGCTGAAATAGATGAGGAAAAGTATGATGACGCAAAGAAACTCTTAGACACAGCAAGGTACTCATAGACAAACTTCAACACTTTATTGGCTCACATGGTGAACCTATGGAATCACCCCTTCATATATCAGTCCAGCAACAATGTTTAGACAAATTAAAAATGGCTATTATCTGAACTCAGTGTTCTCAACAGAATTTTTTCTCAAGTGGTTGCAAAATTCTCAATTTCACAATTCAGACCAAAATTGGTCAAAATATGCCCATTTTTCATGATTTTTCTCATTTTCAAGTGGCTACAAATGGATTTTCAGGTGGGGGCAATCCTGTTTTTAAAATCTCAGGTGAGTGCTGCGCCCACTTGCTTTAATGCTGAGGAGATCACTGAGAACTTTTGCTCATATTCATTTTATAGAGGTCCTAACTGGTAATTTACATCATCCATTCGTCATGATAAACCTTGGGGTTAGCTTTGGTCATCCAAGGAGCCCAAAGTTGAGTTTTAATGAGATCTTCATCTCAGCTTTTTTATGTGCCTATTATATCTAAAAATGAAAAGAATTGCATGAAGAACCAGAACAACGGCAACGCCAAAGCGTAGCGAATCCCATCGAACAGCCATGGATGGCATTTTTACAAACAAAGTATATAGCAAAAATGGCAGCTATTTTTCAAAATGGCCGCCTTCTACCAAAAGTGTCATTAGACCATGTGCCATGCTTATAGAATTCACATACCAAATATGAACAAAATCGCTCTACTACTTTTCAAGTTATAGTAAAATACGTTAAAATGGCGGCCATTTTTCAAATTGGCCACCTTCTACCAAAAGTGCCATTAGACAGTGTGCCAAGCTTATAGTATTCACATACCAAATATGAACAAAATCGCTTCACTACTTTTCGAGTTATAGTAAAATACGTTAAAATGGCGGCCATTTTTCAAAAATTTTTTCAAAATGGCCGCCTTCTACCAAAAGTGTCAGAGGACAGTGTGTCATGCTTATAGTATTCACATACCAAATATGAACAAAATCGCTCCACTACTTTTCGAGTTATAGTAAAATACGTTAAAATGGTGGTCATTTTTCAAAATGGCGGCCATTTTTCAAAATGGCCGCCTTCTACCAAAAGTGTCTTTAAGCAGTGTGCAATGTTTATAGTATTCACATACCAAATATGAACAAAATCGCTCCACTACTTTTCAAGTTACAGCAAAAATCGTAAAATAACGAGTAAAGGCCGCCATTTTTCAAGATGGCTGCCATGTGCTTCTTTAATATCTACATTTCTAGCTTTATTAATGTCCTATATAATTTTTTTACATCTCAAACATATTGCTATTACAGTTTTACAAATTACTGTAAATTCGGCACTAAAATGGCCGCCATTTTGAAATGAGCGGCCATTTTGAAAATCGGCTTTCGAGCAGAACTTCTACCCCCATAGGGTATATGTGTACAAAATATGAACAAAATCGGGCCAACGGTATTTGAGTTATTGCCCGGACGGACGGACGGACGTACTTACGGACGGACGGACGGACGGACGGAGGCGTTCCCTATATCCCTCCGAACTTCGTTCGATGGGATAATAAAATTGTTACAGTCTTTAAATAATCATAAATAAAATGAAGAATATGAACCATATTATTATATATTGCAGGTTCAAGTACAAGGGATACTCTCTTGAAACTCGTCTACATTTCCGGATCCGTGCGGCTAACCTTATGATCAAACAGCGCCTGGGTAGAGGGCGTGAGGATGATTTAGACTCTGAAGAGGTTGTAGCAGAACCCACCACCCCTACTAAGTCTCAAACAGACTCTCCATTGAAAACGGAAGTTAACGGAGTGACGGAGAAACTGGATTTGACATCTTTATGATTTTATCACAAGGATGTCAGATTTTCTGTTTATGATTGAATAACAGATGGGTTGTAATGTTACTGTTCTGTTGTAACATTCACTTGTCATGAGCATTGAACAAATATCTTGGCTTAGGATAGAGGGGGAATACCCAGAATTCATTGATGAACCTTTCTTCATAATGTAAATGAACCTCTTGAGGATTCTTTATTGGTTCATCTATAAATTCAAGAGGATTTCCTCTTGCTTAGAATATATACTTTTTGTAAAGCAGGGGGCCTTCTCCAAACATCATAAAATTATGAATACACAAACTAATTCTACATTTAAGGAGTTAAATGCAAAGAAGGTAATTGACTTGCGGATCTTCACAATTTCACAATGTTTGGAGATATCGTCCCCAGATCCATGTCTTGTAGGATCTACTTGCCAAGTTGACAAGTCTATAAATTATTAGAAACATATGAGAATCTGAATGCTATGGTAGAATCAAGGTAGTCCTAATCATTAAGCAGGTATCAAGATCAGGTAGAATATTTATTTTACTATGAACTTACATTTTGAAGACCAGTACTTTTATTTGTGTTGAATTTGTATCAGTATTTTGATTTACACAGGGTAGGTTTGAATTGATGTGAATGAGCTATATTATACTCCCTTGTTATGTTGCGTGTATTAATAGAAAAACATTGCATTTGCGAGATACACACTAAAGGAAGCCAGTCATATTTGATGTCGAAATCCATTATTATATACAGGTGTGCATGTATTAGGAATCCTCTGTAAATAACCCCTTAAGTCAGGTAGCACTTTATGACCAATTGACACTCTTTATAATCATGGGTTTTCTGATATGCCCAGGTCAGTAAATTCAGTCAGTATCTCATCTCTTGCAAAATGTTGGTCTGTGAATTAAATTTTCTTTGTGTCTACTTGTGTGAAAAGGTTTAAACGCTAGAACATATTATCAATTATATCTTGTTTCACTTACTATCATTTAAAGGATGTATGTAACTATCTAGGCCTAAGAAAAGGCCTTTGAAAAGGGGTGAAAATCACTTTGATAGTTATATACAACCTTTTAACATAATTATAGTTATATTCATCTAACATATGCCTCAGTCACATATGCCCAAAGGCTATGATAGGGTGGCTGTAGTTTCCAAAATGTAGCAATACATGAAAGAAAATCTCCAGTCACCTCAAGGTCACCCTATGATGTATCATTTTCTCAGGCTGTAGCGTCGCTATGAAATTAAAACAAGAAACTTTTTTCATTCTACATTATCCATAGAAATGATCAAGCCATAGCTTCAGACTGGCTTCACTGTCACCATACAGTAAACTCATGGTCCCCCTGTAACTGCCTCAGTATTTGTCATAAACCTACAGCCGCCCCAGGGATGCCCTAAATTGACCATGTATTATCTCTTCCAACTACAAACAGCAGCCTTATAATTGTTCTACCGCAGAAATAGAGTGTACAGCCACTGTTGCAAATATGACTGAGGCATAACTTCTATGAATCTACTCCTGTGAAAAAAATCATAGGTGATACCCTGTAATAGTTTACGCAAGTTAACCTATTAATGCAGCATATCCCGCATTTACTTGGTCTTTGTTCAGAGATCAAGCTAAATCTGTGAAGCTCTATGGAAGTCTCTATTATCAGGCAAATTGCAATATGATAAGAATCCAGGATTAATTCACATAAATAAATTAAGTTTGCCATAGCACCTGTTTTGCAAGAAAAAAAAAGAGAAATCATTTTTTTAGATTGTATGGAAATGAATGTTTCATTGTACATCTATGAGCTATGAGCAAAGTGTGGAAAATAACACAACACAAACATTTTAAATTATTTATCATTTGAATCACTTTATTAATCAGCTTTTATCTTTTTTGTGATCTTAGCACATTTTCTTATAAATTATTTGTTATATAAATTGTTGGCTACAAATGCTGTACATATGAACTATTCCCCGAAGCTTAGTTAAAACATATGACGGGGAACAGACAGATGAATTGTTATTTTACATGTGAAAGTGACATGATTTCTATTATTCCTATTATAGAGAGACTGGGTCTCATTGTTGAAATGTTCTTGACTAAATGTAGGGCAATTGTACATTATTAGCCCATGTCAGATTTTTCTATAATCTATATATTATAAACAGTTTTGTTGAGAAAAGAATTGTGAATAAAAATATACAATTACTTATTATACATAATCACAAAAAATTGTTATTGAATTTGATGTTTGTTTACCCTTTTAAAAGGACCCCTTGAACATTTTGAGTGAAACATATTATTTTGACTCCATAAATAAAGCCAGCGATGTTGGCTTTACCGAATCAGTCAATATCCACTGAGGTATGTGAAAATATATAATACTCTTGGAAATATGATTTTTATGAATATAATGAACAATATTTTAGTAAATGATAGACTTATTCTATTGTCGAAAAAACTACACCAGGTACATATCTTATATCTTACCACTACAGTCCAATGATATCATTGCAGTCAATCTAGTTGTTGATTTAATCAAAGGTAGGTCAAGTTGGCCCATTTAAATGAGGTATGTATGCTCGTGTTATGTACTAACAGACAGTCCTCCCACTGGACCCACCCACCTTATAAGCACTCTTAAGAATTTGAAAACAAATATTGCAATTTAACTCAAATTAAGAGCAATCTGGGGCTCCTAAATAAAAATCTGGAACAGGAAGGATTCCTTTGTGGTGCAATTGATATCATTTCATAGCAACACTTCAAGATATCACCAAAAGTGTCTTCAGTAAAAATGTCTTCAACTTCATGCTCATTATCTTTCAATATCCCCTGTCAAATATACCCATTACAGGGTGTTCAAAAGTCACATGATAAATTTTAACTGCAATGACATCATATGAAATGTTTTATTGTAACACTGAACAATATAAAAAGCAATAATTATGAACAATTCGCAACAAATAATTCTCTTATAAACAAGATATTTTAGCAACATAGCACCCTTCATCTTTTATATAACAATGTTTATATAAATCATTTTCTTTAAATTATAATCTATAAATATTTGTATAGAAATTGCTATTATATTATTTATTATAGTTTTCTCCTCAGAGAGTTTTGAATACTGAACATCCATAGAATTTGGAGCACCATTTTGACAATAAATACTCTAATAATGACAACACTTAGTCATTGCTGCTATATTTCGTATATGTACATTGTATTAAGGTGAACGTAAACTTAAAAGCAAGATAGAAATACATCAATTATGAAACAAAACAAAAAATACTCAAATAATAATGCTTGTTTAAGATCGTATACAAATTAATGTACATTTACTGTAATGATTTTCATTTAAATAACTGAATGTTCATATATCTTCATCAATCACAGGATGTGAGGTACTAGAATGCAATTGTAAGTAATCTAAATCTTATAAAGTTATAGTTATATTAAGCAAACATACAGGGTGTCCATTAAATCTCTTAACAATTACAATAAGTCTATGTAAAGTGTAAAGACTTTATGGAGACCCTGTAATCTAAATGATCTATCGATCGATCGTTATTTCACTTTTTAAAATCCAAATCCTAAATTGAGGTGGGATTAGAAGAACCGTAGTCTAGCAGACACACAAAATGTGATTAGCAAGAATATATTATAAAACAATTAAACAAATAAACTCTTTTGAACACTTTTGGCAAAGAAATTGCATCTTTGTTATTACACATACAGATTTCTCATTGTCTCCTTTCATTGGCCTTCTCATATTTGATATTGCATTTTTTTAACACCTCTTTTTAATAAATAATCTAATTAAATATGAAAGTCTACTTCTTTCTTTGGTTGGCCACACTTGGATGGATTTCTCACTGTACTTGATTATCTCCACTAAGCTCTCCATTAAGCCTTTATAGTCCAAATCTTTCCTTTATAAGGTACATAAGCTTTTTCTTGCCTTTGTATATGAGCTTCATGTTTTCTATGAGTTGCGCAAACTGCATCATTCCATCTGGAGCTAAGACAAATGTTTCCCGAGCCTTACTGAGAAACTCTATAAAGTCCGCGTAGTGTCGAGGGCTAATGTGTGTTAGGCGGGAATGTGTCGTGTTCACATATGCGTGTATAGCTGCTTCTAACAGCTGGCGTAGAGGGGGCTTGTCATATGATAAAAGTTTCATTGAGCGGCGTTTGCTCTCGGCACTAGCTATGCCGGGAGCAGTCAGAGTACAGCGACGTAAAATGTCAGACAGTACAGTGGCGCATTGCACATTTTTAACCAATAGAGGTACGATATTTGTAAGTTCTGATTTTCCTAATGAATGACTTAATGCACATGCCCAGTGGATATCGTTAATAGCAGGATGAGTGTCCTGGTTATAGGCTAATTGAAGATTCTTCATGGCTAGAATGGCAAGTTTGTAGGCTCGATGTGGGTAGCCCCGATGTTCCATATATCGGGCTATGTTAAACAGTTGAGTCGAGGCCATAACATGAGAAGAGGCATCAACCACTATCTGATAAGCGGCTTCAAAAGCCAATGGGTCTTTTTCACATAAATTCAGAGCACATAATGCACAGTTGGGTGGGTCTTGGCGGGCACACTGTATTGCTAGAGTTCGAGCACATCGGGCGATTTCTTCCTGGCGACGGAAATCTAGACTTAGTTGGATAATAGTTGCCGGGGACATAATTGTTGTGGCAACTGTACCTGAAATCAAAGAAATTAAAACATAACTATAACAATTCACTCTCTTGTACATATTGTTCAAAATACTTTATTTGTTTCACTTCCATCATATCAATAAGTCTAAAACATCTATATATTCGTACCTGTTGCTTCAATGGGTGTGAACAACTGCACCCAGTTCATCATGATTGATAGAAGGGCATCAACCCCCACCTCTGTTGCACACGTCACTAACCAACGCACCATTTCACGCCTCCGCCAATTCAATGCAGTAAGTGTCATACGCATAACCTGAAAGCAAACAACATAGATACATTATAGCAACTTCAAACTGCGATACCATGATTGCATAAATATGTGTTCTCATTGGCTAGCTATACCATGTAGGCAAGATAAACTAATTATGAGTGAAGATGAAGTTCCAAAGGGTGATTTCTCTTTAAAGGACAACTTTGTCTAGAACTAATCTAGATCTGCTTATATTTACTTATCCACTCCTAAAATCATTCATTCTTAAGCACAAATACAGCTACAATAACATGTTTATACAATAACACATATAATTGCATCTAAACCGCACATAACAGGTACCATAGACTCACTGCAATAACACATATAATTGCATCTAAACCGCACATAACAGGTACCATAGACTCACTGCAATAACATATATAATTGCATCTAAACCGCACATAACAGGTACCATAGACTCACTGCAATAACACATATAATTGCCTCTAAACCGCACATAAGTGGTACCATAGACTCACTGCAATAACACATATAATTGCATCTAAACCGCACATAACAGGTACCATAGACTCACTGCAATAACACATATAATTGCATCTAAACCGCACATAACAGGTACCATAGACTCACTGCAATAACACATATAATTGCCTCTAAACCGCACATAACTGGTACCATAGACTCACTGTGTGGGCACAAAATAGTGTAAACTTGGGAACTTATAAAATTGTGCATAAACAAAAGAATTAGCACTGAAATTAGCAAGTAAATCCTATTTTCATCGTATTATTCTTTAACTCATGAAAAACAAATGATTCATGAACAAGAAAATTATTTTCATTATTTCACACATGTTGAGGATTGGACACCATTCCTTAATTCATTGCTGGCCAAAGCCATTTTGGAGATTTTCTGCTGGTGACTGGCCATATTTTGATGAAAAATTAAGCAAATTTTCATGTTTTCATAAAAGCATAAAGGGACTGAATCAACACCCTCTGCTCTATGTTTTATGCCATTGTGAAGCCAATGAGAATATATCTCAATTGCACCCAACAATGTTGGTACAAATTGTGTGACAATTATTGGACAACAATATTAGATAACAACAGGGGTCAAGAATAAAAGAACCATAACACATACCAGGTTTACACAAGGCAATCATTACGAAATCATAACTCAACAGATTTAATTTATTCAAATCAAACATATTCAAAAACCATGTATCAAAATTGAACATATGAAACTTAAAATAAAAAAAACATGTATTTTTGTTATTACAGAGGAACAAAACTTAGGATGGAATTGAATATTAAATAGACATTGTAAAGATCAATAGCAACTGTAGAAAGTTTTATCTTTATAATACACAATAAATATTAGTTCTGCTCTGTAATTCAAATGCCACAATGTTTATGTAAATATTCCTATTCATTCTCATAAAGTTAAATTGATTTCAACTAATTACCAAATTACATATAAATTGTATTTAATTGAAAGTACACAATAAGATCAATAATATGTTTGTTTCATATACAGATATAAGCGCTATAAATTCACTTAATAGCCACATGGTCTACAAGTGTTGCTTAGTAAAAGGTTTAATCCTATTATAATGACAATCTCATCTCTGAATTTAACAATACACATTTATGGTGAATAGCGTGAATGGCGACTCTTTGTTTTATGCCCATTCACGCTATCTATTTACACAAGGTTATTAATTACCATTACAAGTAACCAGCCCAACCAAGCAGAAATATGGGTTCAATTATTCAAACTTAAAAGCAATTTACCATACAAGAGACACTAGAACCATTTAAGAGATCCATAAAATACATCATGTCAAAAAAGCCTACTTTTCTCATAGCTGATAATCTTAAATGATTATAATCTTTAAAAAAATATCTATTCAAGTCTTTTTGTCATATTAAAAACAGAAAACATTGACATAGATTTGAACAATACTTAGACACATTTCCAGCGAACGGTTTCAAGGCCTACAATACCTTTTGTATAACAAATTATAAAATGGCTTTTTCGAATAAATCACTAGTGTTTATAATGGATCGTGTATTGTCCAACATAACAATGCATTGAATGGTTCGCTAGATACGATTCTCTGTGTATCATCATGCTTTATTGAGTCGAAATATCAACAGTTCATATTCTATCGAATATTTTCTGAAATCCTTTGAATTGCAATAGTTCAATTATTTATTTTTTCAAAGCCTTTTGATTAGCCAATACATTAGAGCATATCAATTTATACTCTGGGACACAAATGTCAGTGAATTTCAATAAAAGAGTCGTCTGGGTAAAAACTGTAAATGATTCATTGGGCTCAAAATCAATAAAATTCTCCTGATATCGCTAGATGTAGCATTTAAAACTTAATCACGAAACAAAGGCATCAATAGATTAGTGAGGTTTTGAACATATTTCAATTAATTATACAAAAATCAAAATTTATTTGATATTGAGTAAAAAATTGGGCCAATCCTTATGTATATGTTTTTCAAATCTTGGTGTCTGAATTTAAAGGATTAAAAAAGTTCACTTTTTGAATAAAATTACTAAACATTGCAGCTTTCCTAACCACCACCCACTGGTGAGACAAGTAAGAATGGGAATTTGGACAAATTCTACATCGCAGCACTGCACTATGAATATTTTTGACAACCCCTTGCTTAAAAACACAATCTTATCACAATGACACAAATGTACTATACATAATAATAGTTAATATTATCATGTATAGTATAAGCTGTTCATGACTCATGGACTTTTCATGGATTTTCTCTATTTTTTACAGTGAACTTCAACAAAGTTAGATTTTAACATTAATCCCAGGAACAAAGTCAACTATTAGTATGAAAAGGTGTGAAATTCAATCAATACCAATAATAATTACATTAGCAATGTATCCCATTCACGCTTTTGCATTTCAACATAGCAGTAGCAGACACAGAGACACTCCATTTAGTGATAGCTTTATTCAACCCATTCTTCATTATGACGACTCACAACATTCAAAATCCCACAGGTACCATTTACACATTTACAACAATGGATATTGGCTTTTCATATTTTTTTCTACAAACATTTAGAAACCTGGAGTATACTCTATATAATTACATGTATACAATATACTTATGATATTCAACAAATACTGACAGCTATGGGATTTCATCTGTACTTTTACGAGACAATGAGCACACAAGCTCCTATTATATGTCTCTATACCAATACCACTTATTAAAAGTTCATTTATTCTTTGTAGTATAGATGAGAGGAAATATGCGTTACTGCATGTGTTAACAGTAAAATTAATTGTTATTTTTAATGTGAACAAAGATTGCCATATGCTCTATGGATGGAGTTACGAATACGTACCTGTAGACCGAGTTCCAATGCTGCATTAAGTAGGGAGAGGTGTCTGGGTGAATCAGGGGGAGTCGCAATCTTGAATGCATCCTGGGCAAGTTTAAATAGCTGTGATGAACTGTGAATATTTTTTTGAGCAGCCTGCAGCACAGTGCGGAGTTGACACATGTCATCTGGAAAACAGAATTATAACATCATATCAGAAACTATTCAAACCTTGGATTGTTAGAAACAGTTCAACCTGACCTCAATCTTGCTGTTTAGCTGAAGATTCGAATACTTGAAAATCATGATTTTTAGCAGATTAATGTGACCTTTGGACAAATAAATAGAACTTAAGACTTTTAAATTGCAATAGAAATATTAATTTATCCAAGCTTTGTTAGAAAAATAGAATGTTATACTAATATACTTCAATTCAATGCTTGAAATTCAATATGTTTTATTTTACAAAGGTGAACAAGTATGATGAAATTGGGCTCAGGCATAAATTAACATAATATTAATATGATGATATAATGAAACAAGAATGCCTACCTTTGGCAGCGCTCAGCATGGTACACGCAAGCTCACACTGTTGCCCCTCTATGTGGGGTAGCGTGAACCATCGTGGGTAACCATTTAGCACCATAGAGCCCACATTGTTCATGTGGTCATCTGACTCTTCCATGTCTTCTAATACTGGTAACCTGAAGCAGTCAATGTGATGTCATATTAGATATATGTGATGTCATAATATAATTATGATGTCAGAACACGACGAAAATTGAATTTTGATCTGGTCTTTCCAAGTAAAAAAATCTTGAACCTTTATGAGCATTTTTATGTGAGCATATATTTTAGATACATGAAATGGGTTTATTTCTTAATTTTCTTGGGTATGTGCACCAAACTGAGAACATTAGTAAACCTGTATTATTACCACCTTGCAGGGCCTGTTCTAGGGGTTTTAGTACTAGTTGAGAAGGCATTTAAATTGCTATATTGACGTGAGCAATATTGTGTCGGGCGTTACTGACTTTAGTCGGGCAATAATGACATTATCCGCCCGGCTATGTTTCCCGGGAAAAGTGATATCGTTCAGTGCGTAAGATTTTCTATTTCAAATTTGCTATTTCAGCCCTGATCATTAGCAGTGGTAATAATAGTAATAACGTCATTTCTGCGGGCAAAATAGTGAAATATTGGACCTTGGGCCTGCAGCCCTTGGTCCAGTATTTCACTATATTGCCCTTTGAAATGACGTTATTGTACTATTGTTTAGTGCCAACATACCTCATTGCTCGTAGCCCGACTCTATATGCCAGGGCACTGTCGTGGGTGAGTAGACTGGTGAATAGATACTTGGCAAATGTATGCATGGGTATGGTCTCTGGATGGATCCCATGTCCAAGACCACTTGTGGGACCTCCTGAAGCACAAACACAGAGTATGAACAAACCCATGTTTATAGAATCATTTCATCATTTCACATTGGCATTGTTTTTCAAAAATTTCATATATTATCGTAACTGAAATTTGCTTTAAATGTTGACCTAAAATATTCAAGAACAATGCATAGTGCAACAAAATACATATAGTGATTACAGTATCCAACGTTTATTTCAACATACGGAGGTAAGGTTACGACAGCATTAATAACCCTAACTTCAACATTATAAGGGATACGACAACATACAATACATACCTTCCAAAAGTAATACTGTTTGTTTCCTAAGAACGGCGACTAGTGTTGTATCAAGATCAATGTCTTGTAGTTTAGAGATCAGCTTGTCTTCATGTTTACTGGACTTTTCCTGGGCATAGAGACCAGTTGGCATGACCCGTTGTTGGCCCAGACCTGCAATGGAGAACCATACAACATGTTAACATGTTGCTAAGAGCCTTTGTATTTACAACATGGTATTGACATTACAAAGTTACTCACTGTTGCCAGCTATATATTAATAATTATCACCATTATACATTTCGTATTTCTTTTCAATTAATTTTTACAAAAACTTGAAAACAAGAAATTGAAGTTAAAGTAGTTGGTGATAATTGTCATAATAGCAGGTACGTAGAATAACAGACCAAATGAAAACAACTCCATTATTCATTAAGTTGATCATAAATAGAAAAAATATATGAAATGGCGATGTAACTAAATGTCTGTTCATTTCAAAAAGTGATTTCATACAAGACATTTCATACAAGATATTTATTATGCAGTTTGATAATGATTCATCAATTTGCAATGCAGCATCTACTTTGGACTGGTAGAATATGCAGGCCATTCGTGGTCAGACTGATAAATATATCCAACAAGTAAATGATGATAAATCTGTCACAAAATAACGATGGCAATCCTAGCTAGATATACTGACCTATACTTATGCACTTATGATACTTATGCACTGACATTGACCTTTGTGAACCAATAGTTAGATTCATTGACCAACATAAATAGAATCCATTTAACTGAATTAGCTACATACCTATTAAAGCTACTTCTAAGGCCAAGGTGAGGTAAGATTCATTCCTATCGCGACTGCCAAAGATTGTGACATGGCGGTACTTTGGGAGGACACTGTTTAGACTACTATTGCTGCCATACTGAGCCCTTGTGCTCGTGGAGTCAGCTGAAGAAAACAAATACACGTCCAATTAGGATTTATGAGCTAACTTCATTCAATTTTGCTATGTGGAAAAACTGGTATATGTTTATAAGTTTTTGGTACTTTTTAGTTGGAATTAGGTAAAACGAGAATTTACATCTCAATCACAACTAAAAAGTCAACCATATGGAAAAAAGGATGTTTTGGCTATTTCTTATCAGAATTAGGTAAAATGAATATTTGCATTTCTTAATATTATATCAGCACTAAATACAGAATTATATACTCGAAAATGACATTATTCCAATAATTCAACATGTTTAGAATTCTAGGTTCATCCAATGGTATCTTTACTTCCACACGTGATAGCTTTATGAAACACCTACCTGTTGCTACTGAGATTGTGTCATCAGCTATAGCTGAGGCCTCCGACAATGTATCAAAGAGGCATCCAATAGGGTCCAGCGGATGACCCACCCAACCCTCTGAATTACATGGCAACCTGTATTGTTTATGACTAGACTTTGTGTGGTGACGTAATACTTTTCCTGATGGGGATAAACCTGAAATGAAACCTAAGAATGAAAACATATTATGTTTAAAATAATTGTTATGAGAGATATTGATCTTGACGTCATCCATTTCATTAACACACCCTTTTTGATAGTGGTCGGACTCGCCTGAAAATCTCCACTCGAGTGGGCCATGAAAAACCACGATTATAATCGCGATTTGACTTAGTTGAGTTACTTCCGGTTTCAGTTTCCCAAGTAGCGGCAGAATTCATCAATTTGATCAAGTCTTTCAAGTGCCCCTATACTTTTTATTGTCTAAATCGTATTGCACATCCCTATAGATCGTTAAAGTTCACCCCTAGTCCCCTATAGATAGTAAAACTTACCGAATAAATAGTGAAAACAAACTTCGTCAATCCAGAAAGTTCCAGGATGCACCGCGGTAGACAAATATTTTAAAATTCCCGGCTGTTGGATATTCCCAGAATGCATCAAACCGGAAATGAAACTTTTGCATAAAAATAACGAACGCAGAATAAAATCCGAGTATGTTTGTCTTCCGCACATGGCATTATAATGGAAAATAAGTTGTATTCTATACAGACTAAGCAGAACATTACAACTATAAGCATGGAAATTGCGAATAGGAGAGACGAATCGCGAGTCAAGGTAAGGTGAAAACGAGTGAAAAATATTTTTTTGGTAAAAATTTCAAATCGCGAGTTCAAGTTTTCAACTCGATCAATTGATTTTTAGGACAAATACGAGTAAAACTCGAGTACACGAGTCAGTCTTCCAACCACTACTTTTTGAACATTAATGTGAATTAGCACCCATCCTCCAAAAAATTCTGGTACAATAAATGATGAATTATCACTAATTTAGGGTTACTCCCATAACACCTACTTAGAATTTTCTTTCAGGTATTTCTAATTGTGCTTTAAAACGAGTAGGGGACTACTCTCCATGTTCCAAATTCCATGCATGAGTCCACATTATCATAACCATTATTATAAATTATAATATATATATTTTAGTAACCCACCCTTTCCAACATATTTTTGATATTTCTGTTGGTCCTTCCTCTGTTGGTGTTTCAGACTTCTCACTATGACAACAGCCAATCGCAGAGCCTCTTTCATATACCCATGTGACCTCAGAGCATCTACCCGAGCACAAGCAGTTGGAATATGCTCTGTAAAAATATGTAATGTACGTTTATTAAATGGAACTGTTGGATTTTTCAACATATATTTTGCTTCAAACAATCAGCATGTATTAAAAAAGTACAAACTTATATAATAATAATCTTTAATTATATGTTGAGCTATAACAGGAAAAATATTTTTCTACATTGCCATTGTCTTATCAATTTATTTCAATAACATTTAGCATATAATTGACAAGTGGGTATAGTGATAATAAATATAACATCATTCTATATATAAGTAGCCCTGATTCATTATTTTTTTGTAAAGCTTGAGATGGAATCAGGATTTTTGGTTTTAATCAAATGTAGATGCAATAAACATTGGAACTGAACCCTACCTTGCCACAAAGGCAGCCCCTGAGAATCAAACTGTGAAGTGTCACTCATCTCCTCATGGTAGACGCAATCCTCCAGAAGTATTAACTGGAGGTGTGGATCTTGCCAAGAAAGTTCACAAGCCTCAAGGGCTCGGTGGAATATTGTACGGGGTCTTGGCACTGTTGAGGGACCTAAAACCACAAAATTAATATACATAGATTGTATGAGACCTTGGCATTGTTGAAGTTCATTAAATCACAAACATACATATAGCCCTATGGATTCTTTAAGTTAATATAATCACAGACATACACTGTATATTGTATGAGATCTTGGCTCTAATACAGAACCTACAATTTATGATCAAAATTAAATAACTTATAATTACAAAATGTATCAATAATGTAAAACATATTTGTTTCATTAAGGTTTATTTCTAGAAAGACCTGGATCTATTAATAGTATGGGAAATTACAAATTACTTATAAGGTATATCTAAAATAACAAGATAATAAGAACAATTCACTCACCTGCTTCCTGATGATTGGCAAGAATGTTATTCTGTGGGTTGTCTAGGGGGCTACGACTGTCAGCATCTTCCAAAGGGCAGGCAGTTAGATCTGACCATTCCTCTAGGGATTTATGCCAGCTTTCCTTCTCCAGCATGCTACACTGGGGATTCAGCACCACACAAACCCAAAGAGCTCCTGAATTTATAAATCACAACAAAGTTTTACAAAAATAATCAGATGATTAGTGTCACATGAAAAATTTTGAAAATAGTTTTTGTTTTCGTACTTTGGAGTCATACATCAAAATTCACTATATGAGCCAAATTATAATGTATTGGAAAATTCTCTCTTTATGTTCATAAACGCATAAAGTAAGCAAATGGGGTTATCGTGACAACAAAATATAAATTCAAAAAACTCATCATGTCAATATTTGCATACCCCAAGAATTGAATTAACTAGGGTTTAACATTGGCTGTGAAGAGAAGCAATCACTTATTATCCACTCAATACAATACAAAGAAAGAACATACCTAGTTCATCCCATAACTGTCTACATTTTTCAGTCATTGGTGTACCCTGCGTCTTCCACATCATGAGACGAGGGTCAGCAAGGAATTGCTCTGTTATCAATGTTAACATTCTAGCACCATTTGAATCCCTAGCCTTAAGCATTTCCCTAACCTACAAATGTATAGATGTTTGAAATAGATTGATAGATTTTATATTAGCAATCATTGTGTAAAGCGCCATTTGGAGTAAAATGTTGCATTTTAAAAACTTTGACTATAATTAAAAACAGCAACAATAACACTTGACTTGTCATGGTAAATTACTGTAGTATTTAACCTGTCATGAAACATACCTTCGCAAACATGGAGTTGAGCTGATCTGATGAGTTGTAGTATCCTCCCTGAGTTAGATAAGATTTGACTTGTTCCTGGACCTGTTCCTCATCAAGGTGCCAGCTACTGTCCTCATCAACACTGGCCCCTGCAGTAGGGTCAGGAGCACCTAGGGTAGAACATGGTCAGACATCAACTGGCAAGTTTTAACCTTTAGAATTCATGTTTCCTGCTACCGAATTGAAGACATATCATCATTCATGAACTAATTGATGTTCTCATCATCTTTTTATTAAGTTTTGTAGTATATTTATCACCCCTTTCAATGATTGTTTTTTCAATTCAAGATGAAACCTTCAGGGATCTTACAATTTGTAACAATGTGAACTACTAATTCGAGTAACTATCTTAGTAGATGATAAACCATACCTGATATTTCATTTATTTCTGACCGGCTAGACAATATTTCATCGGCAAGTGTTTGAGCAGTGGGGAGCACGTCTGTATGGTGTTCAGATATTAAATACTGGACAAATTTCTGTAGCTGTTCTCTACTCATCTGTAGTAAAGTTTCTGTAAACAAGAATAACAACATTCCATCAAAAACTGATTACAGTTTGGATAAATATGTTAATACAAATATCTAAGATATGAAAATTTAGATATATGCAATACATTATACTGGTATAGCAGACTTCCACATAATACACTTTGTCATATTCCTTTCAAAAGTACTCAAATCTATGATATTACAAATTCCACTATTCTTGTTTTCATGGATGCGACCTTTATCCATATACTGCACTACTGTAAACAAGTCTTACCTGAGATGGGTACGCGTAGTTTCACCTGGGCTGCCTTACGGATTCTGTATAATGATAAAGCTACGACGTGTTGGCACCAAAATATATCTTTATTTCCACAACCACAAGTTACAGATGTGATCTTGCACCTGCAAATGTAAAATAACAACAATATAGAAAACAATAACAACAATATAAAAAATAATTTAGATAGTTGGGTGAACATTTGGACTGAGAAATGAAGAATTGAAACACAAAAGTGCATCAAATGAAAATGGATTAAGTGGAAGTTTAACTGTTAAACAGAACAGTAGATCACTATAATCATAGCTGTAAGAGTATCAGTGCAGTACTTTAATCAAGGTATGAACAAAGTGGGTCAATACTGGTCGAAATCATCACGAGAAATAATGGCCTTCTGTTAGCTTTTTTCTAGAAGGATATTTCTAGTTGAAAGGTAGAAAGATGTGATGTGTATTAGAATGGGTCATGATGGTACCGGCACACCATGAAAAAAAGAGTTTACTCTGTGGTAGAGCTAGTTCAGTAAATACCTAGCCCTAATGAATACTTGTTCCTAAATAGTGATCACAATTTCTCTGTTGACTTCAAAAGAGAATGAATTGATAAAAACTGCAATGAACATCTATGTCTTACAGGTTGCACTATACTGAAGAACTCATCTTACACTAGTCTCCATCACTTTCTCATTACACATACACCCCACTTCTTTTATAATATCTATACATTCTGCCTATTTGAGGAAGAAATTCAAAATGACCAAAAAGATTTCGGAACCACCAAAATTTGAGATTACTGAGAACATGTATTGATTTATAAATTGGATTCCACATAATTATCAATTTGATCGACCATATATATAATTTATAATAGAGTGCAATTAAGGGGTTATCAAGTGGATGCAATAGTAGCCCCTATAAAATATATATGGGCACTAATTAAATATGATTCAAAGTTATATGGTATACCACTTCTTGTTGGATTAATTGATTGACCTAGTACAACCTAAACCAATCAAAAGCCTGTAGATGTTAAACATCTATGTGGTCAGCAAACGAAACGTATTGTCACTGAAACACATATTGTTTCAGCAGAAAAGTTTCACTGGCAAATATGAATTTGTATCGAGGGAGACAAACTGACAAAGTAAAAGCAATCTGTACTGTTGTCATTGTAAGTTTCAAACCGCTCCAGAAAAATCATATTGAAGTAAATTAGTATGGAAACGTGAGATTCACATTTGCATTGTCTAATCACAATGTTCAATGAGAGGTACGAGGTAGATTAGAGTCAATGACTCAGGGTAGATGGTAAATGACATAGAGTGACAAGGCATTGCATTATTTAGCCCTCCTAATCCTAAATCAGCCAGGATTGCATGTGAGGCTTCACTGCATTATGTTTCCTATTAATTACCGCCATTAGATAAATCCTTTAGTTTATTTTGTCATGCAAATGTACGCAGATTTCAACAATCTAACGAAGGCAGTCATCTTCTATTATATTCCAGATCATTAAAACAACTGGATGCAAATAAAAATGAAAGATGTTCAAATAAAACATTATCATGACAATAACTCATAATTAGCATCCAAACATGCTGCATACAATGCTTCGTAATATTAGAAAAATATAAAGTTGCATTTATTTTGTATTATCTTTCTTATTGTCATCTACATCCAATCTGAATGTAACTACACCACGGGCAAAATTAAATGAATCATTTATCAAAACGTATAGGATTTCTCATTTTAAGAGCTATGTTTAATTTATTCCTGCTCTTACTTGGGCAGATGCACTTTGTTTCTGTGTAAAACAGACTATAATAAATTGAGAAATATGTGGGTCCACGCATGACTAGATCCGATCTTAATTCTAATGAGACAACATAAATATGGATTATCTCCAGGATTATTAGATCCTTTAAAATTTTATACCTCTATTATTAGTCTGAGAAGATTATCCTTTTTCTAAGAAATATTAAATTGTATAAGGAATTAACGTGCGATGTTCGGTATTTGATATATCTCTTATATGTCAACTTTATCAACAGGGAATATGACAATATATGATAATTATGTAAAGGGATAAGAGATGAATTGCGATAGCTCATGATGTATTGTTTTTATCCATGCTAATTTTGTAATAAATCTAGGAGCCATCTGCATTTGTGGGAGTTCTGCTGGCTTGGAGTCAAACACAGTGTGATGGCATATGCCATTGTGAAATTTTCAAACCTTGCACATAACTTCCTAATTAACGACTCTATTCGCAAGTATATGTCAAATATGAGTGAAAATGTATACAACAATAACATAACTGTGAATGCAACATCTTTTTGCATGGCTATACATGTACTAACTGTTGATTATAAAGGGAGGTGCATCAAACAGCAAGAGAGATATAATTTTAATTTGTCAAAATGTCACACGGATGTATGCTGATCCATGAGATAATTTCTTACTTGAACTGTTTTCTAATTAATAGTAAATCAATGGTATCAAAAGCAAAGTTGAAGCTTTCAAGTGTAATTACACACATCACGACTCTCTTAAGTGAACACTAGATGACTCAACTTTTACGGATGAACATTAAGCTCATGTCGAGAACAAAATCCCGAAAACTCAACAAAAATCATGGAACTTTGCATTGTGGGAGATGTTTGAGCGACTATAAATCAATTGTATTGATTCTAATTTGGGTTAGATAATAGAATCAGTTTGACGTTCGGAGGACCAATCTGACAAGCAATTCCCATTGCATCCATACATGTGACGTCTCTCCAGCAACATTCCACACCTTAATGTATCACACACATCATTGCTACAGTAACACTTAGCCCCAAAGGACCCAGTGGACACTTATGTATTGTTTGCCCGTATGTTAGTGACAGGTATTGTCACTAAAGGGCCTATGAACAAATGAACAAAGCTAGAAGCTGGAAATTGAGTGATTGTCAATACACAATTCAGCCAGTAGTTAAATGTTAGACATTTTGATGTGTTTGAAAAGGCCTCCCAGACAGAATGTAGAAAAATATTAGTTTTTTGTCATCATCAATATCCCTCAAGTAAATTGCAATAATTCATTGTAAAATACAAGGTGGTCAAAACAACACAAGATATGATGGTAAAATATTGTACAAAGAAACATGATGTTTCAAAATGTTGAAACTAAAACATCAAATAATTGAATGATCTTTACCTAATATGTTAATAATTGCTATCATAAAAATGAATAAATTTGATGCATTCATTTCTGCATCACCTGTATTAACAATGCATTGTATGAACAAGAATTGCATTTATTTGTTTATAATCTGAATAATATTATTGCCATGGTTACAATAGGATCAGTGATAGGGGCATGGAGTCTCTGAATAATCCTACATTTTTATTACTAACACATTGTTAGAGGGAATGGGGAGTGTTTGTGGGTGCAGGGCTTGATGTAAGATTGGAATAAAACTGAAATATGTGAAGATGCAACATTAGACATCTCAGATCTTGGCATATACTGGTTGGCCCAAAAGTTAGTTTACAGTTATTTAGCAATCTCTTTCTGTAAAGTGTAAAACTACTTTCAGGCCACCCTGTAAAATACTACATTGGACAACCACTAATGGTCTATATGTTTCAACCAGAAATGAAATAAATTTTGAGCTAATCATTTCTAACTTAAAGTTTTATGCAATAAGGTCTACATTTGACTGTAATTAAACTGTAAATTGGATTGAAATAACAGCTATGTGTAAATACATATAAAATATAAGTACCTGTCAAAACTGATGGAAACTTTATATTGTTTTTCAGGTTCTGAGAATATTGCATTGGGGGGCTCCACCACTGTTCCGCTGAGATGAAATCCTGGAAATAAACAAACAAAACAGGGTTACTAAGGAGATGAATATATGACACAACACCCTTATTACTGCCTCTTCCTTTTCCCCGACCCCAGGTTATGGAATACCTGCAACTATATTTACACCCAATCTTGAAATAAGGTACAGTTATGTTCTTAAAATCATTCAAAAAGCAATAATCACAAGAGATACATGATACTATAATGTCTGTGTAACAACCTCACACACTATAAACCAGAGATACAAAAACATCAAGTAAAAGTGCATCGACAAAAATTATTAAAAATGTGATATATAATATAAATATATTTTTAAGATAGACTGGGGGAACATATCAAATAAAAAATAAAAAAACACCTACCCCTTGAAAATATAAGTGATGATAGATTCATAAATTGTGGGGTAGAACACAGACAAAATTCAGTTAGACACCCACCCGTCCACCTACCCATATGATCACAATATAGGACCCAAGAGTGCATTTTATTTCATAACAATCATGGTTGCACTTCTATTAACATAACACATTTTTTCTGAGAGAGGATGCAATGCAGACATACATATCTGATTTTAAAAAAACTTGTCTGAAAGAATCATTTAGATAGTGGATGAGTTAGGTGCAACTAAGTCAAGCAGATCCAACCTCAAATAAAATCATCTGATTGGTCCAGGGGCAGTCAATAAATTTAATAGTTGACCAAAAACTGTACTGTAAGTTAGAAGTGTTTGGGACAGGAATTCAATGAACGTAAATGTTCATTTTATAGCCCTAAGATTAAGGGAGCCAAAAACTCTTTATTATTTTCAGACGAACCAAACTAATCTTTGGATATATAGTCTAAATAGCCTGCCATGTTTTTATCACAAAGTCATTATAAGTTGACAGTTACATAATTGACCAAAGAGTTACAATATCATGGATAGCTATCCAAGTAACAAACTTAGTAACTAATGTATATGTAAAATGGTAAAGTACACTACACCACTTGACTGGACTAATCATATCAGGTCTGGCTGAAATGAATACAAAGTTTTAAACCTGAGGGAGGCTCTTGGCAGCTGTATTAAGCAAAATAATGACTATTATTTAATTGCTTAATTGTTCTCCCTATTGTTCCAGAGCAATCGAGATATAAAGCCAACGGGTCAAACAACAATTGTAACTCAATCAGACCTCTAAAGGTTTTGCCACATAAACATAAAGCCTCAAAGCTAGGATGACAATACTTTGGCCAGTAGGACAGGTCGAACTTTCCGGTACCAATAACTCTATTGTTCAGCCTTGTCACCAAGTTTGCTCATTCTTTGGCCATATACTTAATATCAGTTATCAAGACGGAGTAAAGACAGTAGAAATGACAGTTCTTTTCTATGGAGATATCACCTATTTTCCCATATTATGGATCTATAATACCATAATATGGAGCACATCAATTAACTCACCATTTGTGCCATATATAACAACCCCCATAGAACAATCATTCAAGCTGACTCTGGCGAAAGAATGAAAAAATTAACAATTAATGGGTTTGAGAGTGAGAGCCATGATTGTCATACAGGAGAGAGAAACGCAGATAGGTCTAAACAAATGTTTAATGACAATATTGGTCCTTCAGAATTGCTGTACGGAATTTCAATAAAGAACTAAAGTAGGAACACACAATAGATTCCATTCGATTACGTCCCAAAGCTCTTGATAAATATGGGGAATGGCTCGTTTTATTGAAACGGATTGAGAGAATTGTTTGTTTGTATGAATAGCCCCACATAAATCTGCCAGAATCTCTTAGGAAACAATCGCACTGATTACCATGTATTGAGAATCAAACTTTAGAAAAGAGACAAGTGGAAATGAATTATGTAAGCCGACTACCACAGGTTATATCAATAATACATTTGTAAGCTTCATATGATCAAATAAAAAACAACAGTCCTTCTATTTTATTATTCCAATATTTCCCCCATATCCGTATACTTTTATTGAAATTACATTTTCAATTGCGCCGTTGTTTGCTATACTTCTACAAAATGCCATATTTAATGCCGATTGCTGAATAACGGATAATCTGACAATTGGATATTGTAATTCTATATCCCCATTATTCATATTTAACCGTGTTAACATAATATATCATCAAGTGTAAATTATGTTTCTTTTTTTTATAAAAAGTGACAGTATAAGAGTTAAAGGGCAATGCAAATAAATGCCCCGAGTGCGGACTATAGTTTTGAACTTGCAGATGAAGCTCTCTTTTCAGAAACAACATCAAACAATCAAAATACCAAATGAATGAACTGAAACATATATAAGTATTTGAAGATTATGTAACGATAGGTTCTGGATATGAGATTTATCCTGATGGAAACATACATGGTATATCTAACCATATAACCATAAGGAAAGAGATAAAACATAAGAAAACTCTATGACATGCGTGAAAACTAGTAAAAAAATAATGGACTAAAAATATATTATGAGACTATCCTGTTTTACCCAAAGATTTTTGATTCATTCATCCATCTGACCATCCTTAATCTTGATTGAAGTATTGTTAAGAGCATATTCAGATCTGGATCAGGACCACACCTCTATTAAAAATATTGTTCAATCTATTCCTATTGATTCTTGAAACAATCAAATATCATTATTCTTCTATCTCTCAACTCCTTAGATTTCACACAGGCATAACTGATAACATTGATTATATTCACGCTTAAAAAATGATCAAAAGAATTTTCCTTTCCATAAACTTTGTAAAGAAATTTCTGTTTACATATAAGTGGGTGATTCAATATTAAACCCAGCACTTTACAATGTACATGTAGTATCAATTCCAACCCTCGACAATGGCTCATATTTATTTTCTTTCCATATTGATGTAGGAATCCATAAAGAACATAAAAGTCCTTTATTCAACTTTTTCAAACTGTGCAAAGTCACGTTATTTGAGTTGGTTTGTTTGACGCAACGGAGGCTTTTAATTGATCTCGGGGCATATTTTTACAGCAAATGAATGACTGAACATGCATTGAATTGTATGACAATACAACTCAAATGACTGATAAATATTTACATGTGCATAATCCATAAAACTTTACACTTAGATCTGAGATGATGTTGACAGAAAATCTTTAGCCGTAAAGAATGAACTGCGAGACAGAAAGCTGTGATGATGTTACATGAGTGTGTTTGCCATCTAGCGCCATAGGGATTACGGTCCATAATCAATTCGCCACTGTGGACTCTCCTTTGTTGCGCCAACTAGAATAAAGATTACATTGGAAAACATTTGCTTCCCTAACTAGAAGATATTGAATGTGCCTAACAACCATAAAGCTGATTGAGAAACAGTTCATATCTAAAATATTACATTTCCTCTCCCACTAGGCTTTGACAACATGGGTATTGAATAATGTCCTGCCTCTATCCAAATCCAATTAGGCGAATCTTTGCATCTTACATTCAATGACAAAGTCAAAAGTTCAGGAAAAACAATAGGACCATCAACATAATCGACTCATCGAAACACATCAACAAAATATATGACGAATGAATATTATTTTAGGCATCAAAGACAAACTAACTATAGACCTACCCCACCCGATCTGTTTGGACCTAAAATAGCTCATAACGAGAATGAGGAAATCCCAAAACAATCTACTAATCTTATGTTCGTATTCAATAAAGGCAAAGAGAAACTAAATATATTTATAGAGCCAAAGTCACTCAAAAAAATCATTTCATTAATGAACGGAAGATTGAATGTGATATTGTTTCAGTAAAGAAAGCTCACAATGTAATATCCAATTCCAATCTGTATTCAATAATATGATTCAATCGCACGACCAATACATTTGAAGGTATATGGATTACCCATTTAGGTGAAGATCTCATTTGAATTTCAGACATTACTGAAATATTGTTTTTCCAATAAAGTTGAAATCTTAGATGTTTGTAAAGAATACTTCACTTTCAACACGGATGGAAATGAATTGTTAAACAATCAAACTCTCCACTCATTTACATAGAAACCAATGCTGTATTCTGATGATGAGATTTGAATCAGCATAAATCTATAGGATCCTCCTAGGGGCAGAATCTGCCAGTGAGTATTCCATCTTACAAAACAGATAAACCGAGTTCATCGGCATATATTTCAATAAATGACAACTGGATCTGACACCGGTCATTGTAAATCATGGTGGGCCACAACATGACACTGTGGTCAATATTTGAACCATATAATGAGTGTTGGTACAAAAATAGAAGAGGGACTGGTTCTGGTTTACGCTGAAGATAAATGTTTGGTTCATCTGATTCTGTCCTGAACATGGCTCAAACCTTAAGAGTGGCAAATTATTCTTCACCCTCCATTTTTAAAAAGGTTTATGATAGCTTTCCAATGGTGTAAGGTACTGTGCAAGATTCCAAGTTCAAAAGTGTCAAAATTATTTAATTGTAAATGTGATGCTTTACCACATTCAATGGTTTCTTTGCATTTCCTTAGCTTGCCTTCAATACTGCCAAAGATAACAGCAGAATCTATGAGAGTTACCCTTTGGAAAAGATCTCCACTTCTGCTCTTTACATGGCCTATGCACATCCAATCTAATTGAGCCAATCAGAGTATAATATTGCTTAAAGATGGTTCCAGATATGTAAACATAATTGCATTGCTATCTGATTGGTCGATCATCAATTGTGTAAAATGATCATCCAAGTCAGAGTTTAGAAAAGTGGCATATGGACTCAGGGTTGGTGAACCTGACTCACACTTATTTCAAGTACAACAATCATCAGTCTATGTCAAAAAACTTGAATAAAGTGGTCGATTTCCCCCTCCAGTCCAAACCACGAATATGAGGAAACAAAACTGAAATTATTCCAAGATTTCTCTGTGGTTTGAATCCTGCTAGGATTACATGGTAAATGCTATACACATTGGCAGTTGTTTGACAGCTCAATGGATGGAGATTAACTCTGGTTTGTCTTTTTGTTTGTCT